TGTGACAGGTCAGAAGAGAAGAGAGAAGAAATAACAAGAGAATAGTCCAAAACAGAATATAATGTCGCCAGTAAGAAAGAAATAGAGCTAATACAACAGACAGAACAAAGTTAGTATGAAGCAGGAAGAAGAGAAAACAAGAAACGAGAAGAATAACAAGATAATCAAGCGAGAAGTAAACAGGAAAAGCTAAACAAGAAAGAAAGAAAGAAGGAAGAAGTAATAAAAAGGAATCGAGAAAAGGAACAGCACAGGCAAAAAAAGGAGAGAAAAAGGGAAAGGAAGAAGGATAAGAAAATAACAAAGGAATTAAAAAAGAGCAAAAAAGAAAGTAAACAAGAAAGCAGGAGAGAACAAAAACAATGAAAGGGAAGAAAGAAACGAGGAAGAATAAAAGCAGCAAAAATGAAGAAAGAAATAACAACAGAGAGAAGAAAGAAAAAAGGAAAGTATAAAGAGATAATAAGATACAGGAAGAAGCAAGAAAAAGGAAAAAAGAAGAGAAGAACAGAAGAATTAAGAAAGAAAGGAATAAAAGGAAAAGAGAAATAAAAGAAGAGGAAAAAGTAAGAAACAAGAGAGAAAGAATAAATAAGATGAAAATGAAGAGAAGTAAAACAAGAAAAAGCAAGAAAAAAAACAAGATAAAAAATAAGAAATGAAAATAGTGATAAGAAAAGGAAAAAGAAAAAAAAAATAAAGTAACGAAAAAGAACAGAAAAAGAATAGAAAAAATAATAAAAGAAAGAAACAGGAAAAACAAGGAGGAGAATTAGGAACAGAAGTAAGAAAGAAGAAGGAAGAACAAGAAGCAAGAGAAGAGAAAAAAAAAGGGATAAACAAAAGAGAAGAAAGAAAGATAATATATAGAAGGGAGAAAAGAAAAAGAGTGAGCAATAGAAAAAAACGGTAAGATAAAAGTAGGAAAAAGCAGAATGAGCAGGAAAGACAAGGAAAGCAACAAGAAGTAAAAAGAAAGAAAGACAGGACAATAGAAAAGAAAAAAAGGAAGCAGAAGTAAGAAAGAAGAGAAGAAAGAACGGAAGAATACCAACAAGAAAAAACAGGCGATAAGAAACAGCGAAGAAGAAAATAAGGAATGCGAGAAGAGAAATGAAAAAGGAAGAGAAGAATCTAAGCAAAACACAAGAAATAACAAAGAAGAATGAGAAAAGCAGGCAAATAGTAAGCAATCAAAAGTAAAACGAGATAGAAATGAGGAAGTCAATAAAGAAAACAAAAAAGAAACACTAAAAGGATGAATAGATAGAAGCAAAAAAAAGAGAAGCAATTAACCGGAAACGGTAAGAAACAAAAAGAAAACAGAAAAATAAGAAGAGAACAAGACAGAAAATGCAAGATAGCAACAGGGAGGAGAAAAAGGAAAAAACGATAAGAAAAGAAAAGCAATAGGAATAGAAAGACAAAGAGACAGAGAATAGAGAGAGAAATAAAGAAGAGTCAAAGACGAGCAAGAGGATGAAAGAGTAGACAGTAGAACGGTAGAAAGAGAAGCAAGCAAGAGAAAGGGGAAGATGGGGAGAAGGAAAAAAAAGTGATGAAACAACATGAAATGATGAAATTAAGAAGCGAGCAAAAAATAGAAAAAGGAAGAGATAATAAGCAGAAGCGAAGTAGTGAGAATAATAAAGAGAGAAGCAAGAGAAAAAGGAAGAAAAGGAAAGAAAGATGATAAAACATCGCAGCGTAGGCGAAGGAAATAAGGAAAAGAAGGGTACAGGAGAAACGGAAGTGATAACAGTAAAGACCATATACAGAGGACGAAAAGAGACAATAGAACAGGATACGGAAGGAGAAAGCAGCTAATGTGACAGGTCAGAAGAGAAGAGAGAAGAAATAACAAGAGAATAGTCCAAAACAGAATATAATGTCGCCAGTAAGAATAAAGAAAGTTTAAAAATAGATAAAGAAACGAGTAGAAGAAACAAACGGAGGAGAGAATAAAAGAAGCGAGCGATATCAAACGGACAGGAAAAACGAAGGAAAGGGAAAAAGCACAGGAGACACCAAGCAAGGTAAAGAGAGACAGGAAGCAAGAGGCAACAGAAAGTAAAAAGGAGAAGAAGACATCGTAAGTATAAGAAGGGACAGACATTAGACTGCAAGACAACCGAAAGTAAGAGAAAAGTAGACAAAAGGGAAGGAAGCAATGCGAGCTGGATAGAAAGAAAAAGCGTAGATAATAAGTACCTATTAACGTAACGAAAAAGAAGCAGTAAACAGTGAGGACAAAGGTTCGAATCATGATAACTAGAAAGCAAGCAACATGGAAAAGATAAGATAAAGGAGAATAATAGAATATGAAAACACCGGACTATGGTAGAAGGTAGAAGAAAGAAGCTGACGAGACAAGAGAGAAAATAAGAAAAAAGATCATCGATAACGTAGAAGTGACGACAGTCGAGACTGAGAAACAGGAAGCCCATAAGGACCAAACAATTACAAGATAGGACCTAGAATAAAGAGAACTAGTGAGAGTCCAATGGAGAGATAATAACAATAAGAAGGTAGAAGGATGAGTGGAATAGAAGTAAGTAGAAGTTGGGAAAGTGAAAAATAAATAGAAGGAAAATCAGGGGAGACAGAAAGGGGAAGAAGCCAGAAGCAAAAGTGGAATAGGAAAGGAAATGATCGAGAGGAAATAAAAGAAGGCAGTAAAGATTTGACAAAACGAGAAGTGGCAAAAGGAACACAACAGGCTAGGATAAGGCAGAACATGAGCGAAAAATAACAAATATGAGAAACAATGGAGACAGAAGGACGAGAATAGATGACAGCATGCGAAAGAGAAAGATGATAGGAAAGAGCAAGAAAAAAGGTTAAGGAAGAAAGAAGAGCAAAAGAGAAAAGTAAGAGTAGACAAAAGGAGAGAACAGAAAAGAAGAAGAGAACAGAAAAAAGCACATAAGTTCAGAGGAAACAAGCAAAAGAGGATAAGACAAGAATGAAACAGCAGAACGGAAAGGCGCAGTAAAGAGCAACAAAGCAGAAGAGATAGAAAAGAACAGAAGAAAAAAGCAAAGGAGAAAGGAGAAAAAGAAAAAAAGAATACAAGAGGAAAGCAAAAGAAAGAAACAAGAAAAAAGCAGACGAAGAAAGGAAGATAGGAAGTAAGTAGGAATAAAGAAACAGGAAACAATGAGAAAAAAAGCGGAAGAAGGAAGAAACAAGAAGGAA